TATAAATTGAATTTTGGGAAACTCATCCCAATTTACTGTGTTGACTTGGCATTGTACAGAAATGGACAACCATATTGGTCTAGAAATGTTAATTTATTTTTATTTTTTTTCTATGTGTACAGGGGTAACACATCATCCTAAATACGTAAGGTCATATCTACATGAGTTTGATTACAGAAACTAATAAAGTATTCTCTAAATAATGAAAAAAAGAATAAGATAAGACTATAAGAGCGAGAAGCAATTTAAATATGTTCAGGGACCATTTTCATCTCCAGAATTAAGGATTATTTTGATGTTACATCACTGCCTTTTCTCTTTTACTTTCCTTTTTAGTTTTATTTTAGGATTCCCTATTTTTAATATTCATACAGAGATTTCTTTAACTGAAATACCGAATAGTTTCTTTGGTGTGAAAAACTATAATAGTACACAGGATCCTAATGAGATAATTAATAATGTGAAATAGGAAGTAAAGGGCTAAAGGTGTAAGGAAAGTGGGAAGGGTGGGGGAAAGGTAATAAGGGCGAGGAAAAAATATGAGAAACTGAAAAAATGGAAATAAAGTGTTTGTAAATGGGGAGGGGAGGAGGGGGTGAAAGAGGGCAGGGATAAGGGGAAAAAATGAGAATCAAGACCTATTATGTAAAGATACAGAATCCCAATGATGAATGTAATTGTATTTGTATACCTAGATTGTACCAATAACCTCAATAAAAAGAAAAAAAAATAATGGATACTAGACCTTTTCTATCATTCTGAATATATATTATTCAATTTTCTCTTTAACACTAGTAATACATGTATTTTCGTGTGTCTGAGGCACTGAATCTCAGGCTACCTGGATCAAAAAAGAATTGAGAAAAGGATACTGGGCATCTATTCCTTAGCATGTTAAATTTATTTTTATCTGAGCTATTACTGATTTTAAATACACTATTAAAGTGTATTTATTACAACACATCTTGAAGTTATGGCATGGTTCTGTACCCTTGAGAAGAAAACAGAAGCTGATCAAAGTTTTCAAGTGACCATCATTTCATTTTGACCCTTTCTCAATACATTCAGTTTATGAGGAAGTAAGGCACTGTGCTAGCGTCAAGTGCTTACGGAAATTCTAGTTCAGAAGTTCAGCTGTTTTCATTTTTCGATATGAAGGAAATCACATAGAATAACACTGCTTTGAATGGTACGCCGCAAGTCCTTACCGGCTCGGATATGATTCAGTGAAGCCAACATCCTCAGCATGAAAGAGGCTGGAACTGTAATGGTGTTTCTAGTCTCTTCCAACATGAGTTCGTTTCGAGTTATAACCTACAGGCAAGTTAAGCAATCTTGTCAAAGGTCACAGAGTAACTTTATTTTTTCCTTGAAGATTACAAAAACAAAGCCTAAAAGATTGTAGGAAAAATTACTTCATTCTTTGTATGTGCGATGTCTGTGTTTCTGCTTTTTGGCTACTCAATATGAAGGAGCTACTTTATCTTGCATTTAAAGGAAGATCAGAAGATACTATTTCAACTGGCAGAAGGGCAAGAATTAAATTTAGCTTTCGCTTGCAGTAGTTTCTTTGTCAGAGCACCGCAGTTTGCGTTGATTTTTTATTTTTTCTAGAGTGATACTTTCAGTAACAGAACAGTGTTAATTAGTTATCCCTGGGTCACTTTGATCCCTTAGAAGATGTTATTTTGAGGCAAAGTAATCTTGAAAACTAAACATCTGGGCAAGATCTGGCAATAAAATGAGTCTTAAGTACTAAATAAATATTTATGAAAACTGAGGGACGGCACGTGTAACCACATATGTAACCATGAGCAAAGGTACAAGAAAGAGAAACAGTAAAGTGTATGGCAAAGGCAGAGAAGGAGAGAGATAGGGCGGAAGAGAGAGAGGGAGAGGAATAAGCGGAAGAGGAAAATGCTTACCTGAACATCACTGTTCGCCAATGATGACAATAAATGCCCGGCTCATCCGGGTACCCACTGAGCCCTGACAGTCTTGCCCACCTATCTTTCAGTCTGACTGAGCTACAGTACCTCTCAATGTGTGCTCTCAGACTCCAGGCACTCTGGCGGTGCTTTTACCTTATAACTCAGCACGAGCAGATGCCTCTGTCTCAAAAGTTCCTGTGTCCCTCTCTGCCTGGTGAACTATTACATTACTTCTCAAACCTCAGTCCAATTATTATTTCCTTGAGAAAAACCTCACTTCTCCATCCCATCTGCCCCATTTAGCAGCACAAATGTTCCAAAGCGTGATGTCTCTGGCTGACACAACCGCTACCTCCAGTGGCCTGCTCACGTGGCTTTCCTACTAGCGTGTAAGTTCTGAGGCTTCATCTTTTTAAACCCAGCACCGAGCCTGACAAACATCAAGTATTTTACAAATCTCTAAAGGAGTGAAAGCCTGTGTGGGGACCATGGCATGAAATGTTGACCATGGTGTAGAGCAGGGTTTTGCCAACTTCATTTTTAACAACAGACCCTCATTTTACTACGAAATCATATGCAAGCCACAAATAAGAACCCTGGTGGAAGTTGGGGAGGAAAGGTCCAGGGACCAGTCTTCCTATGAGCCATATCTTCTCTCCCAATTCTACGGGAAATCTAGGGCATCACAGATTTCAGCGTAAAAACCTCTGCATTAGTGAGAAGCTAACAAAATCCTAAAATACAGTAATAATAATTTATTCTGCTACTAATTGTGAAGGACAAAGCCTCATTTCTTTTAAGGAAAAAAAAAAAAAAACAAAACAGAAAAAATGGCTTTAGGATGATTATAGAGGATTACTCAGAGTAAAACTATTTTCCTAAAAAAAGAAAGAATCTTTAGTGATTTTTTAATTACATTAAGCACAATAAACAAAACTATTTTTCTTAAACTACAGCATATCTAATCTGGTATTAACAATATTATACTATATTGAATTTACCTCTCTGGCATTACTGACATGTTTTAAATTTTTAAGATTTTATCTCCTTAATTGCATTAATTTTATGTTACCTATAATGAACTACTTTTTCTTTGGATATTTATGAACAAACTAAAACACTGTCTATAATAAGTATAATAAAAATCTTACCTCATCAGCAAGTTTTCGATTAAAAAACCTCGACTCCTCTAGTGGTGACCAGATCTTTATGTCATAATCTATGCCAGATGAGGCGAGAACTAGAAATAAAATTTACATATTAAAATAAAACTTAGAAACAGGCCATTAATTCAAGACAAACAACACATGTATCAAACATGTATATATATACTGCAAAATTCATGTGCAATGAAAAGTGTAACTATACATTTAAGGATATTATTTTGAGCCAAGCATGGTGGTGCACACCTGTAAGGCCAGTACTTTGGGAGGCTGAGACAGAAAGACTGCAAGTCTGAATTTAGCCTGAGAAACTTAATAAGGGCGGGGGGAAGGAAAAAAAAATAAAGAGAGAGAGAGCATATTATTAATATGTAAAGATTTCCAAAAATAATCTAGAACATAACTAAGACCAGCTTTTAAAATTGCTTCATTTTATTTTCTGGAGATGGACTTGCTATGTACTTCAGGCTATCCTTGAACTCACTATTTAACCCAGGGAGGCCTTAATCTTTAGGCAAGTCTCCTGCCTCAGCCTCCACTGAATGCTGGGATTACAGATGTATGCCACCACATCTGTCTCAGGACCATCTTGAAGAGACTGAAATTTCTCTTATTCACTGTTCAGAGATATGTGGCTATTTCAAATAGAAGGCAATAGCAAGATAGTATTCTTTCGTTCTGCTCAATTAATTTAAGGACATGAAGACTCTTGAAAGACTTAGAAGTTCACTCTGGGTAAGTGAGAAGTTCAGTCATCCCAAACCTCTAGTAGCTGATAAAACTAAACAAGAAATATCAGAAGGACAAACTCTTTTATTTCCTTAGCCTTTTTGCTAAAATCAGATTCTTTGTAACCCCAAGCAGAATTATAATTGGCTGCAGAGGTACTCAGGATAATCTGGATCTGTCTTATAATAGTAACAACTGGAGAAATCCTGGGCGAATCCTCTGCACAACTTCAAGCCGGCGTCCACGAAACAGGGGCCTTACTCGGGTCGAAGGGGTGCGGCTGCAGGCAGTTCACCACGTGGTTGTCGGCTTCCAGAAGCATCAGGTGCTCAGCACTGTGCCGGTCCCAGATGAAGATGTGGCCGCAGTCGGAGCCGCTCATGACGAAGTTAGCACCCCAGAAATTGGCTTCTTTTATCTGTTTTTAAAAGACAAATTGTAAGAAGATTCAAATCAGTTACTCAAAGCAAAGGCTTAGTCTAACATTTAAAACACTGGCTTAGAAAATAAGAAAATTAAAAACAGGGCCAGGGATTTAGCTCAATGGTTCTGGTGTCTGCCTCACAAGTGCAAGGTCCTGAGTTCGACCCAGTACCAAAAAACAAACAAACAAAAAACAGAAGGTCTGTTTTCCAGCGTCTTAAAGTCAAGACACAGATTAATCAACACAGATGATGCGATAGCAGGAAATTAAAAGTCCCCAAGAGAACAGAAACCATGGCTACAGTGCCTTAAACAGTATTCCGCCTACCTAAACTTTAAATGAAGAAACAGGATTTCTGGGCTCTGACAATGTAACTGATAATGCCTGTAAGTACCTCGGGAGGCCGAGGCAGGAGGACTGCAAATTCAAGGCCACTCCAGGAAACTTAACAAGACGTTGTTGCAAAAGAAAAATGGACAGGGATGTAGCTCAATCGTAGAGTACCCCTGAGTTCAACCCCTAGCACCATGCGCACATACTCAGAAAGGAAATTATTTAACTTTCCAAATATCCCTCTTTAGGTTTGTAAGATGATGAAATAATTAATGAAAACAAGGAACTGTCTTTCCTATTTTGCCAAAAGAACAACTTTTTCACTATTAGAAGCTTACACATCAAGAAGGAAAGAGAAAACATGTTGCTTTAATGAAGGAATATGACGTGCTAGAATTGCCATGTGATACTTCTAATGGACACACGTGAATGAAGCACCAAACGTTCCCGGTATTTCCATCGGGACTTAACCACTGCCATGTGTGGTGCTCCCACGGGAGGGGAGCTGGCTGTGCTGTTACTTGTTGTTGACTTCTCTTTTTCCCATCCCTTTTAATTATTTTCATCTAAAAACATAACCAGCAAAATGTACGGAGTATAAATTGGCTGTTGCTACTATTAATGGCTATCACTTCTAAATGTGATTAAAATGGTGCTATGAATGATAACCAGAGACAGCTCATTACTTCCCCAGCTCAAAGTTAAGTTTCTACCTCGGCTCTGCAGAAAGCAGGTTAAAACAGATAACACAATGAAGACAGAAGAACACTTTCTAGGTACGAATGGTTCAGAGTCATAGTTACAATCATCTTGAGAGATCTGATTACTAAATAATACTGCGTTAGGTGCACAGGACCGTGGATTTTAAAAACTAAAACATCTTATGAGATAAACTGGTCTATTCTTCATACTTCACAGATGAGGAAATTAAAGCTTAGAGAGATAAAGTGACTAAATTTCACCTGTCAGTCTTCAGAGGGTTATAATTAAAGTAGTCTGTATTTTGTAGTCAACCAGGATTTTATAAATCCAAATTCTTATTTCCAAAATTTATAAAGGTTAATATGAGATTAAAAATACTAGTAATTAGGTAGACAAGTGCGAAAGAGAAAAGTAAAGCAAGGGTTAGTTATATCAGCTACCAAAAAATTTTTTTAAGTATAATTGTTTTTGTAAAAATAATAATCTTAAAGAACCATGTTGAAACAGAGAACTGAGGGTTCAATAATGTTATTTTAAAAATCACATGGCAATATGTACAGATAATCATTACAGAAAACATGTGTACTATGAAACTGCAATTTCACCCAAGAATGCCACGAGCATTTGGTACCATTGTCCTGGAGTTGCGATGACCCTTATAAACCATCTTTACTAGAGGCCTTCTAATGTTCAAGGAGTCCAACTCTTCCATTTCTTTTCTTTCTTTTCTCCGCCGGAAGAACTCCTGAATACGGGCAACAGCAGAGCGTCTATGTATTCCACATTGAAACAAAAAGCAAAAACAAATAAAAAGCACTCACAAGGAATTCCAGAACGACATTGAGGAATGTTAAAATTCACCGTCTACAATATATTTATATATTTAAGTACTTTATATTTCAATAAAACACCCAACCAAAAGCATAAAAAAGCAGACACAGTGAGAGTACATCAGACTAGTTGAGTTACTACAACAAAGTATTTTAGTTAAGAAATCACTTAGAAATTTGATATTGGTTGAAAAAGAAAGTAGCATGCGGCACACTGGTTTTTAAAGGGCTATTTTATAAAATCATAATACAGACAAAATTTATATGCAACTTCACTACACATAAATTCCACTCAATGTTTATTCTCATCCTATCAGGAAAAGGTATAAACTAAAACTTTGAGATTTCATTTAAAACACTGTTTAAAGATGTCAAGAAAAATGCAAGAAATATTAACATATATGGAATAAAACAAAGACCTTCAAATATCATCTTTCTACACAGATTCCATATGGGGAGTAGCAATTTAGAGATAATGAGGTAGCTTTTACTCTCCTAAGAACTGAGGTGGTAGCAGAACCAGGGATTCAAGAATAAAGGTCTCTTGTACTAATAAAAAAAAAATTAAATTATAATTAAAAAATAACATTTTTTAAAAACTAATTTTACATGAAAGAAATTTTAGCACATATTTTGTAATTTAAATTTGTTACTTGAAACGTATTTTGAACATATGCACCAGAAACCCTTAATATTTAATGTCTATCATTTTAGTCAGAAAAACCACAATAGCAATTACTGTACAAAAAGATGATCAGTCTCAATAGTAATAAAATGAAAACAAGAAGTTGTTCTCCTTATGTTTAGCAGATTGAAAGGATTTTAGGTCTATCAGCATGGCAAGCATTTAGGGAAATGTGCAAACTCGTAGGAGTTTAAATATGAATCCACGTATATTGAAGAAAGCACATTCTTTTATTATAAGCCTTTCAATGAAGTACAACACACCAACAGAAAGATACAGTAAAAAGGCTAGGAAGTGTCACAAACGGAACAGGCCTATGTATCCCATACTTGACAAGAGCCATAACCGGTGTGCTAGAGCTCTCCTCTGTATGCTCCATTCCTGTCAGTTCTTTCCCCTATAAGGAAACCAATTTTCTGATTTCCAATGCAACGGAGTGATTCTGCTTGTTTCTGGACTTTAACTAAATGGAATCATATAACATGTTTGTTTGTTTGTTTGTTTTGGTTTTTTGAGACAGGGTCTCACTATGTAGTTGAGACTGACCTGGATATGTAGCCCAGGCTCGTCTCAAACTCACAGCGATCCTCCTGCCTCAGCCTCCCGAGTGCTAGGATTACAGACATGCGCCACCATGCCTGGCTAACATGTATTTCTTATGGTCCAGCTTCTTCAGCTCAACATTGTAAGATTCATCAGTATTACTGCGTTTAGCTGTAGTTCATCTTAGCTGCTATATTATTTTGTATAAACATAATTTATTCTATTGTTGGTGGGCAATGGGCTGTTTACACTTTTTAATGATTAAAGTAGGGCTACCATCAATATATAGTAACATGTTTGGGTGAACATCGGTACATATTCCTGTTGGATATGTATCTAAAAGGGGATTGGACGACAGTATGTGCATAATGTCTACCTTTAATAGATAACCTCAAACAGTTTTCCAAAGTGGTTGTGCAATTTTATATTCCCACCAGCAATATATTATAGTATTGTATTCCAATACAATATATTTTTGAGAAGTTAAATAACATATATTAAAATTTCAAGCATGTATAAGCTTGAGGGCTGGAGTAGTAGAGCACCTAACCGTCATGCATGAGGCCTGGGGTTCTATCCCCAGCTCCACGACAACATGTACAAGTTCTGACTCAACAATTTTATTTTTTTTAATGCATACCATACAAGGATAAGTATGCAAATACACAAATGTATTTCTTCTGGTCAGGCGTGGTAGTGCACCACTGTATCCCCAGCACCTGGGGAGAAGGTAGAATGGTCCAAGTTCAAGGCCGGCCTGGGCTACAGCAAGATTTTGTCTTAAAACAGAGCAAAACAAAACTTCCCCAAAACCACACACACACACACACACACACACACACACACACACACACACACGTATGTATTTTTCAATACCACAGTACTGCAAGTGACAAAGATTAGAAATAATCCAAGTGTTTGGATAGAAAGAACAGGTAAAATAAATTATGACATGCATACAACACAGAATTTATCATCATTAAAAATAAAGACGATTCATAAAAGCTGTATGAAAGATGTGAGCATTTTACCACTGAATCCAAAACAGAATAATTCAAAGGAAATATATATATGCACAGAAAGCAACCAGGAAGACAGTGGATTGTTAATAAAAATTTTATGCAACTATATAACAATCGTGTACTCCCACTTTTATAATAAGCACACTTTCTTTTTTGTAAAATGCCATAACATACAACTCTAAGCTATCGGGCTGTTTGCAGTGTTTTAAAACCTCTTCCAGGGCTGGAGATCTAGGTCACTGCGGAAGACGTGCCTGGCATGCAGGAGTCCACAGTTCGCTCTCCAGTACCACAACACAAAACTCCCACCAACATACTTTCTTCTATGCTAAGTACACTGTGTAATTAAAAAATATAGTGAATGTTTAAGTTTAAAAAAAATTTCAATAGTAAAAGGCACACTGCTATTAGCCCCCTCACAATATTCCCCACTTTGCCTCTAGCATGCTTACTGACTGTTCTTGCCATTTTCTGAAGCAGTTTTTTGTATTCTTAGTTGCACTGTCTTGATTGCTGTGATGTCCTGAACGGATTCATAACATTAAGCTTTCACAGTCATCCTGACTTTGAGGAAGAGCCAGAAGTACAGTGCCGGCCTTGATGGACGAGGTGGGTGAGGGCACCGTCATGTTTTAGGGCCTGCCTTTCCGAAGGATGGCAACAGGCGCAGCAGTTGCTGTGTTTTGGTCACATCATAAAGACACTCGTGAAAGAGGAGTTCAAGGACAGCTTCACAAGGGGCAAGAATGTGGAATAAGTGTGTTCAAAGCCAAGAGAATATTTTGAGGGAGATTAATGGCAATGTGTCTTGCTGTGATGAATTTGTATTAAACAAGCACTATCTATCTATTTATTTGGTATGGGGATTGAACTCGGGTCCTGGTGCTTACAAGGTAGGCAGTGAAACCACTGGGCTAAATCCCTGGCCCACACCATATATTTTAATCATATCTCATATTTATAAAAACAAAAATGAGTCTATGACTAAGTTTTTAAGTTAGAAACTTTCAGACAGAAAGCTATCATGTTTACTCTGATTATCTTTCTCCTTCCCTCCCCCCTCTTCTGGTACTGGGGATAAACTTGGGACCTTGTGCCTGTGAGGCAGGTGGCGGAACCACTGAGCTACATTCTGGGCCTGATTATCTCTTTTGGACTGGGAGGTAAAAATATGAGAGGTCAAATCTCTCAAAAGGAGACATAATATGTTGATTTTTTTTTTCAAAAGATGGAAAAGACATGGTGAAACAGTTAAAAAGTTATTGGGGACTTGAAGGTATAGCTCAGTGGTAGAATGTGTGCTTAGCACGTAGGAGAACGTATATTTGAATCCCAGCACACAAAAAAGCAAAAAACCAATAAAAGAAAAACTGTTTAGCTAAGAAAGTAAAGTAGCAAAGGAAATAACCTCACTGATAAGCCAAAGCTCTAAAAGCTATAAATAAAGAAAATGTGACAAATTAAGAATTCAGATGGCAGCTCAAATCATTTAAAACAAAAAGGTGGACAAAATCAAGGCTATATTAGTAATAAAGTGGTAGTGATTAAGAACTAGAACTACAGCAAAGTATAAATGTTCATTTAAAAATCTTGCTCTATAAATTGATCTAATTTAGTATTTAATATTTGTTTAGCTTAGTATCATCACAAATAATTATTCAAAAACCGAAATCTCAAGTTATGTAGTTTGTTATACAGTTTAGATTAAAAAACAAATATAAAAAGTAGGTCACGTCCCACCATCCCACTGTAACAAAGTTACTGAAGAGGAAATAAAGCCTCAAATGCAGAAATTTCAAATTAGAAGTCAAAATGACAGCAGCTATTGTAACTCCCTACCTGGTCATGTAAGTATCTCACGCAGCTAACAATTCTAAAGAAACAGAATGTACTAGAAATCACCTTCTCAGAGGATGTTTCACAGGAAACACTGAACAATTACAGATCATTGAAAATAAATTTGTACTTTATCACTGTATAAATGGAGCAAATGAAAATTAAAGTGATGTATACATGTGAAGGAAATCAAGCAAGTAAGTATTTATTAAAAGCTTATTATTTGAGGGGCCGGGGATTTAGCTCAGTGGTTTGGTGGCCTGCCTTGCAAGCGCAAGGACCCAAGTTCAATTCCCGGTACCAAAAAAAAAAAAAAAAAAAAAAAAAAGAGAGAGAGAGCTTATTACTTGAAAGTTATTTTGGGAACATTTTTTTCTTTTCTTTTTGTGGCCCTAGGCCCCTGAACATGATAGGCAAGCACTCTACCATGAAGTTACATTCCCAGCCTCAGTTATTAATTCTTTTATGATATATCACACTCATCTGGTACACAACTTAAAACTCATAGAAGAGCCAGATACAATGATGCATGCCTATGACACCTCATCTACTTGAGAGGCTGAGGTAAGAGGATTGTAAGTTCAAGGAGAGATGGAGCAACCTAACAATACCCTGTCAATCAAACAGTCAAGGGGCTGCGGATACTCCTCAGTGGTACCGTGGTTGCCATCAAGGGCAAGACTCTGGGTTCAAAGCCCCGTATCACAACACACACACACACACACACACACACACACACACACACTTTGAAAATATTTATACAAAAGTTGGTACAGATAAATAAGAATGGGAATTTATGGAATTTAAGAATAAAGTAATAGTAACAAAGAGTATAACCCCTCCATAGAGAAGAA